TGGGGGTGGGGCTTCGGCCGGCAGGGGTGGGGCGGGACGTGCTGGGGCGAGGCTGGGGAATTCCTCAACTGCAACCAGAGGTACCGCAAGTCACTGCTCTTGTTGGAGGGAAATCCACCACACTACTGATAGGCTGACTTTCTAAGCTTCCCCATTCACACCCCAAACCAACCTACTACATGATACTGAGACCTAAACAGGCTCATATAAAAGGTCTCTAACCATCCACCTACTCAACACAGCCAACACTCTCATCCCCATATGCCGGAGGAGCACAAACCCCCTATCACTGGATGGTGTTGTAGAATCAGTCAAGTTGGTCAGATGGAGGAATCTTGAGCTATTGCAAAAAGACTTAGCAGGACCTCATGGTTATTATTTGAATTTCTTACCACTCCTACTTGACCAAACCTGATGATGGCTCTTATACCTGAGTCCTAAACTGTTATTTCTCATGAGACCTTTCGTAACTGGAGTGTGGGACTGGTACCTGAACTAAGCTCTTCATCCCTGCTCTGAGGTCTGGCAAGGCAGGGACAGCCGCGGGCCTTTCCTACAGAAGCTGCAGGGCACTTCCAGCTTTAAAGATGGCCTCTGTGCAGCGGCCATCTTTATGACACAGGAATGATGCGGCAGGCCCGCGCCGCATCATTCCTGTGTCATAAAGATGGCCGCCAATCGGCGGCTACGCAACGGCCATCTCTAAAGCTGGAAATGTACAGGCGGGCCAGATCGAATGATAATTAAATATTATCATGCGGCCCAAAGATAATTCCATCGCGGGCTGGTCTTGGCCTGCGGGCTTTGAGTTTGACACTTATGGGTTAGGACACTAGTTAGCAACCTATCAACCCAAAAGCTGCACATAATGTTCAGCATATGTAATGCTAGAAAGGACTGTCATAGACTGCAGGCATACTAGAGGAAATGATAATCGGAGACTGAGGACATGTAGAAGAAATAATGGTAAAAGGCTGAGGACACGCCAGAGGAAATGATGGTCGTAGAATGAGCACAGAGGAAATTATAGCGACTGAGGACATGCTAGAGAAAATGATGGTCAGAGAGCGAGGACGTGCTAAAGATATGATAGAGGCTGAGGACCTGCTACAGGAAATTATTATTATTATTATACGGGATTTATAGAGCGCCAACAGTTTGCACAGCGCTTTACAATATAAGGAAGACAAGATGGTAAGGAGGGCCCTGCCCATGCGGAAATGATGGTCAGAGACTGAGGACATGCTATATATAGCTCAGACACACCAATAAAGATCAGTTTTGCTACCAGGTCTGGCCCACCATCGACCACCTCTAGGGCCCCATTCACACCTGACAGTTTTGCAGCTTGAATGCCTAAGCAATACAATGCTCAACAAGAGGAATCCCATTGCTTTCAATCAGCTCAATTGTGAATGGGGCCTCAGTGATGGCTCATCACTCTGCAACCTTACTTACCAAAAAGGGATGAGCTCACTTTTGGACCAAGCCTTGTCTGCACCTGAACTCCTCTGAACATGGAAGGAAGTTCCTTCTGTTTTGCCCCATTCAGCTGCAGCCGGGGAATTCCCCACCCATAGCTGCACGTCAGCATAGGGGTGGAATGCAGTGATGTCATTGACCTTATTTTGGCTTTATGGCTATATTTGGTCAATGAATGTAGCCATATACAGGTGAAACTCGAATAATTAGAATATCGTGCAAAAGGAATTGCAGTAAGTGCTGCAAAATGGGCCCAAACCAAGTACTGAGTACATATGCATGCTTGTACTTTTCAGAGGTCCGATATTGTTCCATGTACAATCCTTGTTTTATTGATTGCATGTAATAATCGACTTTTTTGAGGTTGTGGATTTGGGGTTCTTGGGGTTTCCATGAGCTGTAAGCCATAATCATCACAATGATGACAAATCACGGCTTGAACTATCTTGCTTTGCATGTAATGAATCTCATATATTAGTTTCACCTTTTAAGTTGCATTAGTGAAATAAATGAACTTTGCACGATATTCTAATTATTCGAGTTTCACCTGTAAAGTCAACGATGACAGCACAAGCATCCTGTCCCTTTGTTTATGTGCAGCTTTTAGGCCGGGAATGCCCCTGCCTGCAGCTATTTGGGCGGGAGGCCCATTGCACTTCTGTGTTTGGAGATCTCAGGTTCAGTCCGAAGCTGAGATTATACTTACTTACCAACAATGGGGTGTGGGTGGGCAGGAGGAGACAGGCCAGAGCTGGTGACCATGCAGGCTGGTCACTCTTCACAGCATCCCTATATACTCGGGAGGATTTAAGTTATTATTCCTTTAAAACACATTTTCATAATCCTGTTTTTTTTTTTCTGTAGTTGAGGAGTAGCCGACCCATGTGAATGCTGAGGTCCTACAACACCAGTGATGTCCAAGAACAATGGAACGTCCATTGCACGCAGAGTGGCCCGGCGTACCGGTCCTTCCCAAAAAAACGCCAGTCGATCAGTGGACGGATCTGTCATTAAGGTATTGTTATCCTGAGCTACAATTCTCCAAATTTAGCATGCAGTGAGCTATATAATAATATATAATACGTTTATAATAAGATATAATATAGGATTGTATTTGAAGGGAAGGCCGCAGTTCATCTTTAAATGAGAGTTTCTTTGAATTTGCTGTTTTGGGGAAATCCTCCCTCAGTGTGTCATCAGTAAATCATTTGTATTCCTAAAATGTGAGAACAAAATAGTATGAAATGTGAAATTGTCACAAAGTGATGAACAATTTTGTGTCATACACAACACCTGTGTTGCACAATGGCTGTGCTGATGATAATAAGAAAAAACTCTAGGTCTAATGATAGTGACGAAATGCATCAGGTGGGCGGATCTATGCGAGCATTGCAATCATAGAGACAGGAGCTCCAGTGGACACAATCCATGTGCAATTGCCTTATTTTAATTGTAAGTGTATTGTAATCGTTTTAAATACATTTATTCTGACATAATACACTATGGGAAGCCTCTTTTTCTCAGAGGAAGAAATATGGTGAGCAATAGGAGTTGGTGAGTGCGGCCAGATCTTATCTTTGAGCACGGTGGAGACTGGAGAGCGCTGATCCACTCATTGTTTATGTATTCACGGACGTTGGTGTTGATTATAAAAGTTGGAATATATATCCTCACATATTTCAAGGACTTTATTGTATCCAGAAGTAATGGACTTCACACATGGTTATGTAGATTAAGAGGGAGTTGTAAATCACTTGTGAGATTTAACACAGGATTTTCTATATGTAGACATTTTATGAGATGTACTAGCACTTTTTTTTCTGCTTTATTATGGTTTATAGTAGGGATGCACAGATACTTTTCGAGTACCAGTGCAGATATTTGGCATTTTCATGAGAACTACCAGGGTTGCAGCGGTTGCAGCTGGGACCGGGCTCTGGTACTCCACCACTGTCCTGATATCATTAGTCTGTATTGTTTTAGAAAAACTGTCACATGACAATAAACAAAAATGTATCAGTACTCGTACTCGCAAAACTGGTATCTGTGCATCCCTTTATTTATATTTATAAAAACTAAATCGTACATTAAAACAGAGATGTACAAATCCCGGGAGCTCCGTGTGCTCCTTACACATGACAGCGGCCTACTAATTTTTGCATTTTTAGTCTAGTCTTGGAGCTCAAAAGCATCGGTACTTGTACTCGTACTTGTACCGAGTACTGTTCTTGGTATCTGTGCACCCCTAGTTTATAGTATCTAGATCATTAGACCTAGAGTTTTTTCTTATTATCATCAGCACAGGTGTTGTGTATGACGCAAAATTGTTTATCACTTTGTAACAATTTCACATTTCATACTATTTTTCTCACATTTTAGGAATACTATTTGGGTTTGCGCAGCGCCATTTTCTTTTTTCCTATTTTGGGTGTAGTCACCTATTAAGCACAGCTGCTCCTAGAGCGTTATTTGATTCCTAGCGCAGTTTTTTTTCTATCTAACATTAGTAAATCATTTGTGTCTGGATCCACAGAATATTTGCCTGACGGGCGCCGAGGCCCTGCTGGAGAGAGAGCAGGATTTCCTGTCCACCTTGTCTCAGGTTAACACGCTGGTCTTGAACACTTTACTGCAGTCGACAGGTAAGAGCCCCATCGGGACCAATCTCAAATTGGGCAAGCCAGGAACAAAAATGTAATATTTTGCACCAGTCCTTGGATGTATTAGCAGCATTAGTTTTCTTTTTCTCACCTGCCGTCCTTGACCCTCTGGGCTCAGAGGAGGGGTTTAAATGATACTGGGTGTCATCCAGATTATAAAAAGAGTGCCATCTGCTGGAGGTGAGGACTCTATGTGAGGTGCAGCGCCATGTTATACTCAAGTATTGCTGCAAAAGTTGATATTTTTTTTAATTTAACAAATGTTTGCCAATGGAGTTGTTATATTATAATATATTATTATTAATAATAATATAATATATTTTTTTATAATTGTGAAAGGTTGCTGTAATGTCCCTTATTGCAGTCATTCTTTTGTGTTTTCCAGATACACATCACGAACTTCCGGGAAAAGATTACTCGAAGGTGCTGAAGGTCTTGAATGACAAATTTCACAAAGTCTGGGACCTGACGGCCCGATGTTTCCAAACACTAAAAAAGAATTACGACCTCTTGGCGGTGGATATCCAGGACATATACCTCATGACTGAAGAGAGCCACTTCATCGAAGTTTACACAGAGTGAGTGCTACATGAATGGAACCCCCCCCAGTTCTAGTTTTATGTACAGTGTGTAAGAATTAGATCTTCTGTTATTAAAGTGACACTAAACTCCGTAGTTAAAGGAGAACTATGAGGGGCGTGCTTTTCACTCACCTCATAGTTCTAACCGACCTGTGACAATGAGCCTTTCACAGGTCGGCTCAGTAGATCGGGAGGTGAGCGAACACATACCGGCGTTCGCTCACCTCTCGATCCTGTCACGGCTCTCTGCCCTGACAGGGGAGGGACTGGATTCCCCCTCCCCGCTCCGATCCGCCAGCGCTGACTGGCGGAACAGACAGGGAGGGGGCGGGTACAGCTGGCTCTGCCTCTAGATAGGCAGAGCCAGCTGTCACTCACGCAGCTGGGCGGATCTTGACAGCGATGTCGGGATCCGTTCCGGCGTCTCAGTATACCGCCAGCTGTAGCTCGCGGTATACTGAGCTTAGGGGGACGGGAGGACGCTAGTTTGTGTCCTCCCTTTACCCTAAGGAGAACTATGGGGAAAAGCCCCGACCCCATAGTTCTCCTTTAAATCTTAAAAAAACATTCAAGTATCTTAACTATTAACAACAATGTATCTTATTTGTGTATCACTCGGCTGTAGATTTTCAAATTATTACTATACAGGATTTATATAGCGCCAAAAGTTTGCGCAGCGCTTTACAATATAAGGGAGACATTACAATCATAATACAATTCAAGACAAGATGGTAAGGAGGGCCCTGCCCCTGAGGGCTTACAATCTCAAAGAGGAGGGGGAAATGATAAATGAGGAGGTAGCTGTGTGGTGATGAATTGTCTGAGAAAGTGATGGTTGAGAGGTTAGGTTGAGGTGGGATCGGCTTCCCTGAAGAGATGAGTCTTAAGGGATCGCCTAAAGGCAGTCAGAGTGGGAGACAGACGGACAGGTTGGGGGTAGAGAGTTCCATAGGATGGGAGAGACTCTAGTGAAGTCCTGGAGGCGAGCATGGGAGGAATTGACGAGGGAGCTGGAAAGCAGGAGGTCTTTTGAAGAGCGGAGGGGACGGTTAGGGTCGGAATTGGTGCTGACACTATCCTTCCTTCTGGAGGCCGACTACTTTTGTTCCTCATGGTCCCTGTGTGTGTTGTAAAGTAGTCACAGCTCCAAGCTCGCTCCCGGGATGGACTACAATGGACTAAAAATGAGATTGTAGTCTATGACGGGAGCGAGCTTGTAGCGGTGACTACTTTACAACACACACGGGGACCGTGGGGAACAGACGTAGCCCCCCTCCAGAAGGAAGGACAGTGTCAGCACCAATTCAGAGATGATTGGAGGACCTACAGCCGAGTGATACAGAAATAAGATACATGGTTGTTACTAGTTAAGATACTGAAATAGATTTTTGGGGTTTAACTCCGGAGTTTAGTGTCACTTTAATGCTTTCATAGTCCTAATGACACAACAGGAAATGTAATAAAATATCCCCACAGTGAAAAGTACATTTCCTCTTAAGGTGCCCATACACCTTACAACCATCGCAAGACTTTTGTCTTGCGATGGTCGTATGCTTCTTGAAAGCCCGTACGATCTGCCCACCTTGGACGGGCAGATCGTACTTGCGATCATCGAAAGCCGCCCCGCTGAGGGGCGGGCTTCCAATGACGGCAATGCAGAACGGGCAGTGTGCGCGTGCGCACACCGGCCCGTTCCACAGCTATCGGGCGAGCAGGCTAGAAACCCGACGAGAATCGTATGATTCTCGGCGGGTTTTCGAACATGTTGGCTCGACAAAAGACGTGCGACCGTACAGTAGAAACGGTCACACGTCTTAGTTCACACTGCTTGATTCTCGTACGAGAATCGGGCGAAATCCCGCGATCGTACGAGAATCAAGCAGTGTGAACTAAGACGTGTGACTCGAGCAGTGTATGGGCACCTTTAGACAGCTGTCAGCAGAACAGGTGTCCCCATTGTGAGATTTTCCCCTCGGCTCGGGAACTCCTGTTTGCAGGCTTCCTTCATAAACACAATGTAACAGTGTTGTGTTGTCACAATGTATTTTGGTAAGAGCTTATGTGCAAATCGAAGGCTTGTCCTTTGATGTTCAGCTAATGTTGCAGCAAGCCTGCAGTCCTCTTCTGTATTTTATATTAAAAATAAAAGCCCCATACATGTGTACACATTTTTTTATTTGTTACTTATAATAAAATACATGATAGTGTTGACTTCATTTTCCAATCATGGAATTGCTTCTCTGGGTGTTACAACATGACACGTGCCTGATCACTGTGTCACTGTACACCTCCCTTCCTCAGTGCCCAGATTACCACAGCCGAGGGTCTTTATTTCTGGGATTTTTTGTTACAACCTTGATTTATTTCTGTCTCTTTCTGGTTTTCTCAGGTATTTTGTAGCAGTCACAAGTTATATGGTGATCAAAGGTTTTGAGAAATCAGCAAAGCAGACCAGGTAAGCCAGTAATAAGGAGGTGCTACTACTGTACCGGTACGGGTACCCCGGGTATACTGCATAATATAATATTAATGCAGATATTAAAGGAGAACTATGAGGGGGTGGGGTGCTTTTCACTCACCTCATAGTTCTAGCCGACCTGTGACAATGAGACTGTCACAGGTCGGCTCAGTAGATCGGGAGGTGAGCGAACACATACCGGCGTTCGTTCACCTCTCGATCCTGTCACGGCTCTCTGCCAGCTGGATTCTCCGCTCCGATCCTCCAGCGCTGGCTGGCGGAACGGACGGGGTGGGTACAGGTGGCTCTGCCTCTGGATAGGCAGAGCCAGCTGTCAGTCACGCAGCTGGGCGGATCCAGACATAATTGTCGGGATCCGCTTCAGCTGCGGCGTCTCAGTATACCGCCAGCAGCAGCTCGCGGTATACTGAGCCTAGGGTGACGGGAGGACGCTAGTTTGTGTCCTCCCGTTACCCTAAGGAGAACTATGGGGAAAAGCCTTAACCACATAGTTCTCCTTTAAGG